AGTGCGGGCCTTCGGCCTGGGCCGGCGCGGCCCGGCAGGCCGTCGGGGCACCCCTCGGGGGGAGGCCTCTGGCCGCCTGGGCTCCCCGCGGCGTGCCCGCCGCGGAGGCCGCCCGTGGCCCCCCGAGAGCCTCGCGGCGCCTCCCGCGGCGTGCCCGCCGTGGCGGCGGGCCTCGGCGTCGTCGCGTGCCGTGGGCGCGGGGGCACCGCGCTCGCTCTCGCCGCGAGGGAGGCCCGTCGACGACGACGACGGACGACGACGACGACGACGACGACGGCGCACGACGACGGACGACGACGCACGACGACGGACGACGACGTACGACGACGATGACGACGACGACGACGACGACGACGACGACGACGACGACGACGACGACGACGACGACGACGACGACGACGACGACGACGACGACGGACGAAGACGACGACGACGACGACGTACGACGACGTACGACGACGACGACGGACGACGGACGACGACGACGATCGCGGCCTCTCTTGGATGGAACATCGCGGAAGCTGCCGCTCGCCTTGGATGGATCGTACGATCTCGGCCGAGGTGTGAGAGCGAGGTCGGGTCGGGGAGGGTGCCCTCGGATGTTCGTCGTGCCTGTTGGATGTTCGTGTGCATCCTGTGGAGGGTACCCCTGGATGTTCGGTATGTTTTGGCCGGCGGAGGGTCTCATGTTCTTCAGGGGTTTCTTTTGTTCCAAGTCAGACCGTGTATGGGCGAAGAGCGCCCAATAGCGCTGGAGTGCGCCAGACACTGCCGGTTTTTTGAATTCCGTTTTTAAGTTCAAAAGCATTTTTCTTAATTCAGAACACCGTTCTTCTGGCCTAGGTCCGACCGTGGCATCGGCGAAGAGCGCCCAGCATCCCTCCAGTGTGCCAGACGGTGGCGGTGTCTTGAATTCCAGGAGCGGGTTCTTGAGCTCAGGAAGCGAGTTCGTCGAATTCAGAACATCGTTCTTCTGGCCTAGGTCCGACCGTGGCATCGGCAAAGAGCGCCCCGCAGCCCTCCAGAGCGCCAGGCAGTGCCGGCTTCTTGAATTCCAGAAGCGGGTTTTTGAGCTCAGGCAACGAGTTCGTTGGATTCAGAACACCGTTCTTCTGGTCTAGGTCCGACCATGGCATCGGCAAAGAGCGCCACGCAGCCCTCCAGTGTGCCAGACGGTGGCGGTGTCTTGAATTCCAGGAACGGGTTTTGAGCTCAGGACGCGAGTTCGTTGAATTCAGAACGCCGTTCTTCTGGCCTAGGTCCGATTGTGGCATCGGCGAAGAGCGCCCCGCAGCCCTCCAGTGTGCCAGACGGTGGCGGTGCCTTGAATTCCAGGAGCGGGTTCTTGAGCTCAGGAAGCGAGTTCGTCGAATTCAGAACACGGTTCTTCTGGCCTAGGACCGACCGTGGCATCGGCGAAGAGAGCCCAGCAGCCCTCCAGTGTGCCAGACGGTGGCGGTGTCTTGATTCCAGGAGCGGGTTCTTGAGCTCAGGAAGCGAGTTCGTCGAATTCAGAACACCGTTCTTCTGGCCTAGGACCGACCGTGGCATCGGCGAAGAGCGCCCGGCAGCCCTCCAGTGTGCCAGACGGTGGCGGTGTCTTGATTTCCAGGAGCGGGTTTTTGAGCTCAGGACGCGAGTTCGTTGAATTCAGAACGCCTTTCTTTATGGCCCAGGTCCCTGGCATCGCTTGGACGTGTGCATTTCTCCTTCGGCGAGGACCATCGAGGAGCATCCTTGATCATTTGGCGAAAAACCACGCACGAAACCGAAACAAACACAGGAAATGCACGTCCGAGCGATTGCCGGGGTCCGACCGTGGCATCGGCGAAGAGCGCCCCGCAGCCCTCCGGTGCGCCAGGCAGAGCCCGCGGCCTCGGGCCCTGCCGGGGCGACGCTCGGGGTGGAGGCAGTCTCCGGGCCAGCGGCCGGGCTCCCGTGGTCCTGGCATCGCTCGGACGTGTGCATTTTTTTCTTGGCGAGGGCCATTGAGGAGCATCCTCGATCATTTGGCGAAACAACCACGCACGAAACCGACAAAAAACACAGGAAGTGGACGTCCGAGCGATGGCCAGTGGTCTGGAGCCGATGGCCACATGACGCCTGTCGTTAGGCCTCCCAGATGTCAAGCTGTGGCGAAGCGTCCTGGCTCGCCTATAGGGCCACCAGAGATTGTTCTAAGAGCTTCTTGTGGTCGGCACGAAATGTTCTTAGGACACTTCTGGCTGGGACTGTCTTGTTTTAACGCATCGGGAATCCGTTCCAAGAACATCGTTTTGGTTCTTAGAACATTTCTGGTTTCTAAGAACATGTCGTGGTAGGCCTATAGAAATGCCGGGACGGTCGGTCCCTGCTCAAGATGCATCGCCGATGCGGCTCGATGTGGGGCCCGTGGTTTCCCCATGCCGGCGTCGCCGGTGCACCGCCGACGTCCGATGCATCGCCGATCTATCGGCGATGCATCGGCAAGGCGGCGCGATCCTTGGACCCCATCTACTCGGACCCCATCTAGGAGGCCTTTACTGCCGTTGCTGGCAAGACCCCCCCCCCCCCGGTTCGAACCGGGGGAGCGAGGGGTAAAGAGGCTTCCAAGCCGGCCGAAGAGGCCCCCGAGACGGCTCCAAGGGGGGGCCCAGATGGGGAACCCACAGGGAATCTCGAGCCTTTGGCCCCAAAAGCCTCCAGGAACCCCCAAGAGGCCCTCAAGAAGCATGTTTCTAATGGGGCGCCGCAACGGCCCAAGAGGGTCCTAGCAGGGCCCACGATGAGGATCCCAAGAAGCGTCCCAATAGGGTTCCATGAGCTACAAAGTATATATTTTCTTTGGTTTTCAAGCGATTTGGGAGTTTTCGTCTGTTCGGCTCCCCGACGCTCGAAAACGGCCCCAGAGGCTCAATATCGCCCGAAGATGGCACAAGAGACTTACAAGAGGGCCCAAAAACAGCCTAAGAGGGCACCAAGACGGCCCACGAGGCTTCCAAGACGGCCCAAGATGCCCCCAAGACGGCTCCAAGAAGGGGCCTAGACGCGAGACCCGAACGGACATCTCGAGCCCTCGGCCCCGAGAAGCCCCCAGGAAGCTCCAAGAGGCTCCCAAGAGGCTTCTAATACAGCCCCAGCACGGCCCAAGATACCCCCAAGACGCCCCAAGAGGCGTCCCAAGCGTGTTCCACGAGATACACCTGATAATTTCTGCGTCAGATTTTCGAGCGATTTCGGCGTTTTCGCCTCGTCGGCTTCCCGACGCTCGAAACGGCCCCAGAGACATCTCAAGATCGCCCGATGACGGCACAAGAGGCTTACTGGAGGGTCAACAAGTGCCCCCGAGGGACTCAAGACGGCCCAAGAAGCCGCCAAGAAGGCCCAAGAGGCCTCGAAGACGGCTCCCAGAGGGGGCTCAGTCGGGGAACCCCAGTGGCCATTTCGAGCCACTGGCCCCGAGATGCTCCCACGAGGCCCTGAAGAGGCCGCAAGAGGCTTCCAATAGACCCCCAGGAAACCCAGGACGCTCCCAAATTCTTTCAGATGCTCCCAGGAAGCCGACAAGATCCAGCAAGCCTCGAGATGCTTACAAGAGGAACTCTCGAGGCTTCCAAGCGACTTCTTTGCCCAGTGCCACAGGGGTGTACACACCTCGCCCCCATCCAGACTTCACGACCCAGACACTGCAACCTCATGACTCGTCCCCGATCCAGGGCTCCGAGGCTTCAGGGTTTTTCAGAGGGGCAAAGGAGGCCCCAAGTGGCCTCCCCAAAAGGCCTCCCAAAGGCCACAGAGCTGCCTCCATGAGGCCCTCGACAGGCCTCGACGAGACCCCGACGAACATCCAAGAGGCCTCAGAACCGCCACACGGGCACTGGGCGGGATGGGCCGAAGGCCATTCGATGGTGCTTCGATCGCACAGCCTCGCAATTCGTTCCTGCGGTATTGGCCTCCGGGGCCGGCCCCGTGGGCTCTCGGCACGGACCCCAGGGACCATCTCGGGGCATGTTGGAGGGCGATGCCTCCAACCGCGCTCCCGAGGCCTCCGGAGCAGTCGCGCGGGGAGTCCCAGGAGCGCACACGATCGCCCAGACGTTCTCTGAGTCGGGGCCCCCTGAGAAGTGCTTGCAAAACTCGCTATTCGAAATTCCAAGGGGCCCGATGGGACTCAACTCAGCGCCCACGGCGCGGTGGCGGATACATGCTCGGATCATGCCTCGAGGACAGCCGTCAACATTGAAGCCGTCCTTTAGACCCTTGCTTGATTGCAATGCGAACGAAATGATGGTCAGTCCTAACGGGGGTCAGCCAACTCCCTCTGATCCCCTCTCGCCGACTTGGGTTGGGAGCCGCCGTAGGGGCGACCTCCCTCCCTTCCATCCCTCCGCTGATCCGGGTTTGGGAGCCGCTTCAGGGCTGGTTTGGGTTCGCGACATGGCCCTGGTTGACCCAGGCTGGCGCTGACCCAGGGTGAGCGTTGAGCGTTGGCTTGGGTCAGCTCGTCCTCGGTGAATCCCCCTTGACTGCGCTGTTCTGCCGCGTTTCGTGTCCATCTGTGCTCCCAGGTCGTGGTTCGTGGTTCTGTCAGGGCTTTTGAAGGCAGAGGCTTGCGCCGTCACGTGGTGTATTTGGGGAAACTGTGGGATCGATGGCCTCCTAACGTACGCTTAGGCACGTGCGCATCGATTCTGCGGCCCCATCGGGCGCAATGAAAGGAGTGATTTTGTTTGCTCGGGTTCCATCTGAAGATTAGGCTGCACGACGCCAGGGGGCTTTGGAAGCAAATGATGGGAATTTTGTGTACCCTCCTAGTTCCGTCTTCAGAGTGCACTAGCGTCGATTAGCGCCGGGTAATCGATGAAATAGCGCCGGTTTAACTTCGATTGACTTCGATTCGCGAGGGCCAGCAAAATGGTATGGGAAGCTACCATGAGTTGCCACCGAAGGAAGTGAGAGATGAAGCCATGCGTGTTGGGCACGAGCGGGCATATCCTGCCCACGTGAGCTGTGCCCGTCAGGCCCTGAAGCGCCGCCGTCTCCCCAGTCCGTGGGCTTCTCCGCGTCGCTGCTGCAGCCTGAGGCGACCTACCGCCGCTGTGCTCTCCCTGCCTCTCTCGAGGGAATAATCACGATGACCATGACCAAGATGTCGCCGGATCTTGTCGCTGTCGTCGTCGTCGTCCTCCTCCTCCTCCTCCTCCTCCTCCTCCCCATCCTCCTCCTTTCTCGAAGGAAGAATCACGATGACCATGACCAAGCTGTCGTGGGATCTTGGCGTCACCGATCTTGGTCACAGTCCATGTTGGCCGTCGCCGATTGGCGAAGACGATCCACGGGTTGGCGATGGCCAAGATGGACGACTTTTCCGCTTGCAGTTGTGGTCATGGTCATCGTTTTATTTTCCTCTCCCTCTCTCTGTCTGCAAGCCGCAGCGACCGATGGACGGGAAGGAGGGGAAGGGACGGGACGAGGCGAGGCAGGAGAAGGGAGGGCAGCCACAGGCAGCCATTTAACCCAGGCGACCACTAGGAACAACGCAGACGTTCTTGGGAAGCCATGCAACGGCACTCCATGTTCACTAAATTCGTTGTGAGTGCAAATCCCTGCACGCGCGCCCACGCACGTCCAGAGAAGCGGTGCTTCCCGCTCTTGTCTGGTCAGGTTTCTCACACACGGCAATTTCGCTCGAGTATCCTCTAAAGGTCGACTTCGGAGGGGACTCTGAATCAGCATCGTCTTTGAATCGCTCCTGCAGTGCTTCAACATGGCATCGAGGAGCTCAAAACGAGTCCTCAGGTGACCCAAAGAGCGCTCGAGAGCGCCCCAATAGGGCCCCAAGGCGCTCCCACGAGCGCCCAGCAGGTCCCCAGACTGCCCAAGAGCGCAAAGACAGCCCAAGAGAGTTCTCCACGAACCCTCAGGCACGCCCACAACCCAAGACGCGAGACGCCTCCAAGAGGATCAATAATGGTTCCAAGAGGCCCGAAGACATCCCCAGATTGTCCCAGGTAGACCCAAAAGGTGCATCTTTTTTGGGGGATGGTTGAACTTGCTGCTCATGAGTCAGTTGCCTGGCGCCAGTTTTGGGCTGTGAGCTTGAATTCCTATCGTCGGCCCACTTTTTCCACGTCCTTCTTCTCGTGCGCCCCATCACTTTTCTCTTCGCCGGTCGCCTCCTTGTCGCCCTCCTTCTCGTCCTTCTCACTGTACTGCTCCACGCTGTTTTTTTCACGTTGTTTTCTCCTGGTCGTCCTCCCCGTCGTCCTTGTCCTCTCTCGCCTTTTCCCGCTTGTCCTCCTCGTCGTCGTCCTCCTCGAGAGCCTCGTGCTCCTCCCCGACGTCCCACTTCTTCCTCTCCTCATTTACGCTGTCCTTTTCGTCTTCACGCTGCCGTCTTCCTGCCCAGCCACGTCGATCTGTCGTTCTCCCATCCTTCTCGTCCTTGTGCTTGCCCTTTTCCTCGTAATCCTCCTGGTCCTCTTCCCCCTCGTCCTCCATGCTGTCCTCCTTCTCATCCGCCTCCTTGTCGTCCTCCTCTCTCTTTTTTTTTTGGTCGTCTTACGAGCCGAGTGGACAAAAGCGCTGGTTCATGTTCTGTCCCAGTCAGGCTTGATCTCGCGGGCGATGGGGGGAGTTGTTTGGCTATTTTGTCCTGTGGACGAGTCCACTCGCGAATGGCTGCCGCCGAGAAGAGCATTATTTCGACCTCAGATCAGAGTTTGGCGGTTGCAGATGGTTGCGCAGCAGTCTGACCCAAGAGCGGTCCTGATTTTTTGAACGACGCGATCATGTCTGGGTTTGCAGGTTGTTGCCCGAGACTGGCCGCCGCCGGCGCCTGGCCGACCCTGCTCAACTACAGGCCAGTCTGGCCTCCACAGGTGGGGGGCTCAAACATAGGCACCCCCCCCCACCTCCCCCTCGCTGGCAAGGGGAGAGATTACCAGCCTCGAACGTATCCCTATCCCTAAGATTGACACGCCCAAAGGCGATGACAGTCTTAGGGATCCGCCCTCAAAAAATAAGGGAAACCCCAAGATTGGCATCGTGCTGAGGAGGTGCCCAGCAGAGGGATAGGGATATGTTCCAGGCTGGTAAAGAGAGGAGGCACCGACGTGGTGGTGGTGGTGCATGTTCTCTGGGCCTCAACCACCACCTCCCTCTGCCCCTCCCTCCCCCCCTCCCTCCCCGCCTCCCTCTCGCTGGACAGGGGAGCGAGGAGGCATCGACGTGGTGGTGGTGGTGGTGGTGCACATTCTCTGGGCCCCCGGCAGGGGACCGCGCCCTCTCTCCCTCTCTCTCTCCGGCGCCCTGCGCAGAGGTGCGCCGGCCGCCCCGCCGCCCTGCCCCTCTTCAGGGAGGGGGAAGAACACACACAGAGACAATGCATCGTCCACTCCCAGGAAGACAGAAAGTCAAAAAGTGTGGGAAAAGACAAAAAATCAAAAAGTGGGGGAAGACAAAAAGTCAAAACATCAAAAAGTGGGGAAAGACATGTGGGACGTGGGGGGGGAAGACAAAAAGTCAAGAAGTGTGGGAAAAGATGGGGGATCATTTTATTTGTGTGTGTATTTGCTTGTGTGCCCTGGGGCCCCTTCACCTCGTGCGCGCTCGCGCCCCCTTTGCTGGCGGCGCGCACGAGGGGAAGGCCGGGGGGGGGCCCGTGCCCAAGGAGCGCCCTGCTCGCCTCTGCGGCAGTGGCTGCTGCCGCGGCTGGGAGGGGGGAAACTATAGCGACTTGTTCGCGTTTTTTTTTTTTTTTTTTTCTTCCAGCCGCGGCCGCGGCTGCGGTCGGGGCTGCGGCTGCGGCCGCGGCTGGGAGGGGGAAACTATCGCGAAGCTTTCGCGGTGGTTTACTTCTCCCGGCAGCGGCCGCGGCTGCGGTCGGGGCCAGGGTGCCCCTGGGTTCCTGGGGCTTCGATGGCTCTGCTGTGGAGGGCGTGACGTACCCACGCCGGAGATCAGTGGGCGTCCTGGGGTCTCAGGGTTGGGCTTCTCGTGGAAGGTGTTCCTTGTGGTCGGGCCTCCACTGTCAGGGGGGAAGGGGGAAGGCTTCTTGGAAGCGCCCCCGCTTCTTGAGATGGCGCGGGCCTGATCTGTAGATGTAGGGCCAGCGCCTCCTCAGAAGCAGCCTCCGCCTGGGCAGCCTTCCCCCCTCCCCCATAACCCCCTCGTGCGCGCCGCCAACCTCAGGAAGCCGTGCGGCCCCCGCGCGAAGGCCCGGGGAGGGCCGCGCTTCGCAGGCGGCCCCTCGCCCGGGTGGACGAGCGGGTCCCTCGCGGGCGATCTGTCGAGCAGCCCCGCGGGCTTCTGCTCCGGGGGCCCAGCGATTGGTTTGCTGTCCTCTGGCGCGCAGCGGCCTCCCGAGGCCTCTGGGGGCCTCCCGAGGTGCGCAGGGGCCTCCTGGGGCGGGCGCAGAGACACCCGACGCCGTGATTGCTTGACGACCATGGGGCGCCCAGAGGCCCGGACCCCCTCGCTCGGCGTCTGATCCCGAGCCGTCTCTTGGCGGTCGCGGGGCCTGGTGCGGGTCCCCAGGTGCCGCAGCGGGGACACAATGCCGTCGTGAGGTCTGCCCGCGGCGCGAGGGGGGTTCAGGGGGGGGGGCTCCTGGAGACCTGCGGGGGACCTTCTCCGCCTCTGTGGCGAGGGGGCGTCTCGGGGTACGTTGCCAGAAAGTGTCGAGCGGGAGCCGTCGTCGTCACTGCTGGGCCGTCACCAACCTGACCTTCTTGCAATGCATGCTCGCGCGGGAGCGCCGTTCCTGAGTTGACGGACCCTCGGGGGCCGTAGTTTCAAGCAGTGGCGAAGCGTCCTGGCTTGCCTACAGGTCCGCCAAATAATGTTCTAAGAACCTTGTGTGGTTTGCACGAAATGCTCAGTTCTGGCTGAGATTGTGTTGCCGGAGTGCATTTTCCATGCTAATGATATAAGTACGCTGCTCTTGTTCTCAGAACGTTCCTTTGCTCTGCGAACATTCATCTCGTAGTCTAGGAATGCCGTCACGGCGGTGTCGGCCCCTGCTCAATACGTGGCCCTCGGAGGCCTCTCCGCCCCTCCCTCCGGCACAGCCTCCCACCGGCGTGCCCTCACCGCCCGTGCTCTCCCCCCCCCTCCCCCCCCCCGCACAGGCGCAGAAGGGCTACTGGCACGACGGACTGGAGGACGCCCCCCCCGCCCGCTGGTCCTGCTGCTGCTGCTGCTGCCGCTGCTCCTGGGTCCTCCTCCTGGATCCTCCTCCTCCTCCTCCTCCTCCTCCTCCTCTTCCTGGGATCCTCCACCTTCTCCTGGATCCTCCACCTCCTCCTGGATCCTCCTGGATCCTCCTCTTCCTCCTCCTCCTCCTCCTCCTCCTCCTCCTCCTGCTCCCCCCTCCTCCTCCTGCATCCTCCACCCCCGCCTCATCTTCTTCCTCTCGGGTCCTCCTGGATCCCCTCCTCCTGCTCCAGCTCCTCTCTTCCCTGTCGTTCGGTCTTCGGCTTCCCCCAACTTGATTTTGATGCGGCCTCTCTCCACGGTTTTGCCTCCCCGACTGTTGTGGTTGCGTTTGCCTTGTGGTTCAAAGGGGTTGGTGCGGATTCCAGAGGCTTCGAGCTCTCCCAAGTGGAGGAGTGAACTCTCTCCTTGCGGCCGTTGGGCCCCGCATTTTCTTGGGATGTCGGCATGCGGTCCAGAATTTTGGCTTAGCGTCTCGTTCCGCAGGCTCTGCCCCGCCACAAGGCGGAGGGTGGAAAGAAGTGCGGTGTAAGCGGGGTGTGGTTCCAATGCTGGATTTGTTTTGTTATCTACGGTAGCCGGAAGTGCATGGCATCCCGATTTCAACAGCGTTCGCTTTGCGGTGGCTGCCTCAAACAACGTCAGAATTCCTGATTCCAACTTCCCCGAAGGACAAACACCTGTTCCAGGACGCCCGATCACGAAACACGCAATTTCGGAAATTCCGAATCGCGCAAAAGCGTGATTCCGGAATTTCCGTATCGCCATAAACGTAATTCTGGAAATTTCAGAATTCAGAGGCAGTATTGTTTCAAGGACAACTGTACTTCCTGAAATTCCGAAACGACGGGCCGGAACTTCCGGATTTTTTCAGGAATTTCGGACATTCCGGAATTTCCAGGATGGCGTGCTTGGCGATCGGGCGTCATGGAATGGGCATTGATGTCGCTGTTCAGATTGGATGGCGTAACGTTGTTTAAATCATAATGCAACTCACTTGTGGCTATCGTAGACAACATCTCCATTTTCAGCATGTGCACCACACCCCATTATACCACACCCCTCTCCGACCTCACCGCCGCCACCGCTTCCCAATTCTTCGGCGTCAGCGTCTCGAGCCGTTCCTAAACTCCCGCCCCGCGGAGCGGAGAGGCTCGCTATCCGCTCGTAAGGCATATCGTGTCGCTGGTGCCGCCGCCGCGACACAATGTGCACAAGTTCGTGATCGTAGTCAGCACCCTCGGTACCCTCCTCGCTTCCCTTCGTCTCCCCCACCCTCCCGCGGGTTCCTGGAGTGGGCTTGGCACGGCAGCCAGCGTAAAGGTGGTATCCTCCTCCTCCTCCTCCTCCTCCTCCTGACCATTCGTGGTCCTCCTCCCCCTCCCGCTCCTTGTAAGCCCGTCTCGGGTCAGACGGCGTGCGTCTTGAAGGGAAGGGGACACAAGTGCATCACCCTGGCTTGTCCGGACCAGGCCTCCTCCTCCTCCCTCCTACTCCTCCTCCTCCTCCTCCTCCTCCTCCTCCTCTTCCTCCTCCTCCCCCTCCTCCCCCTCCCCCTCCCCCTCCCTCCTCCCTCCTCCTCCTCCTCCTCCTCCTCCTCCTCCTCCTCCTCCTCCTCCTCCTCCTCCTCCTCCTCCTCCTCCTCCTCCCCCTCCTCCCTCCTCCCTCCTCCTCCTCCTCCGCCTCCTCCGCCTCCTCCTCCTCCGCCTCCTCCTCTTCCGCCTCCTCCGCCTCCAGGGGTGTGGCTGTTGAGATCGGTCGGCCTCGTAGTCTCCGGCGCTTTGTTGTCCAGTGGGGAGCGTTTCATCATCATTAGTTTCCGCCTCCTTCTCCTCCGCCTTCTCCTCCTCCTCCTCGTTCTTACTTCCCTTGGTCTTCTCAACCTCTCGCCGTCTCCGCTCTGCTCCCCCATGGCGGTCGGCCTCCTCTCCTCAGCGCCCTATCGCCCTTCCCCTTCCCCCCCCCTTTCGCGAGGACCAGTGGTCTGACATGACGGACTATGGAGGACGCTCTCGTCGGCAGAGAGGGGGATGGGTTAAGGGGGGAGGGGGAAGGGGGGGGGGAGGAGGCGCGGGAAGGGGGGAGGAGGGGAGGGGGCGAGGGATGGGGGAGATACAGGGTGAGGATTCGAATGAGGACGAGGAAAATGGTGAGGTCAAGATGCAGGTTTAGACTGCTGAGGTTGAGGTTGATTTTTGGGGTGATGACGATGATGATGCTGATGCTGATGATGCTGATGATGGTGATGATGGTGGTAGTGATGATGCTGATGCTGGTGATGATCATGATGGTAACGATGTTACCGACGATGATGCTGATGCTGATGCTGATGCTGATGCTGATGATGATGATGAGGATGATGCTGATGCTGGTGCTAGTACGGTGATGCTGATTGTTATGATTATGATGCTGCTGATGATGATGCTGATGCCGCTGATGATGATGATGATGATGATGATGATGATGATGATGATGATGATGATGATGATGACGGTGATGATGATGATGATGATGATGATGCTGATGATGATGATGATGATGGTGAGGATGCTGCTGAAGATGGTGATGCTGATGCTGATCATGATGACGAGGATGAGGATGCGGATGGGTATGCCGATTATGATGATGATGATGATGATGATGATGATGATGATGATGATGATGATGATGATGATGATGACGATGATGATGATGATGCTGCTACGGATGATTATGATGTCGTTGATCCTTGCTTTAATGATGGTGATGATGGTGATGATGATGTTGATGATGGTGATACTGATCATGAGGATGGTGGTGATCATACAGATGCTGTTCGCGATGATGATGACGATTCCGACGTTGCTGATGATGAAAAGGTTTATGATGAGGATTCTGGTGATGAGGATGAGGATGACGAGGAGGACGTAGCACCCCGCAGGTGCGGACAAGAGTGATGTGGCGGTGGGGACGACGGCAGTCTGCGAGACTCTGGAGAAGCCCGCCGCAGGCGCCGACGTTTCACACATTAGGCTAGTAGCCCGCCGCAGGCGCCGCCTTTTCCCTCAAACCAATGTGGATCGGTCGCGCTTGGGTCGCGGGTGGGTCGCTGGTGGGTCGCGGGGTGGGTCGCGGGGTGGGTCGCGGGTGGGTCGCGGGTGGGTCGCGGGTGGGTCGCGGGTGGGTCGCGGGGTGGGTCGCGGGGTGGGTCGCGGGTGGGTCGCGGGTCGGGGTGGGTCGCGGGGTGGGTCGCGGGTTGGGTCGCGGGTGGATCGCGGGGTGGGTAGCGGGGTGGGTCGCGGGGTGGCGGGGTGGATTGCGGGCGGGGTCGCGGGTGGGTCGCGGGGGGGACGACGACAACACACAACAACACCATCAACAACAACAACGTCATCATCACAATCGGCATACTCAACACCATCGAGATCCTCACCATCACCATCAGCATCAGCATCATCATCAGAGTGAGGGGGGCGAAGGGTCGTTCACTGTCCCTGCGTGTGTGGCTGAAGTGGGAATCCGTGGTGACGATTCTGCTTGTTGCGTTGTTGTTGACCATCAACAACAACAACGCAACAAGCATAATCGCCACCACGGATTCCCACTTCAGCCACACACGCAGGGACAGTGAACGACCCTTCGCCCCCCTCACTCTGATGATGATGCTGATGCTGATGGTGATGGTGAGGATCTCGATGGTGTTGAGTATGCCGATTGTGATGATGATGATGATGTTGATGATGATGTTGTTGCTGCTGCTGATGATGATCATGATGACGATAACGGCGATGATGCTGATGAGGATGCTGGTGGTGATGATGCTGATGACGGTGGTGCTTCTTCTGCTTGTCATGGTGACGACGATGCTGATGGTGGTGTTGATGATAATGGCGAGTACGATGGCGATGATGGTGGTTGTGATAAGGTTGTTGATGATGCTGGTGCTGACGATTCTGATGAGGATAAGGCTGAGGATGGGACTGAGTATGATGATGCTGGTGATAATTGTGGTGACGATGATGATGGCGCTTACGATGCTGACCATGGTGATGATGATGGTGCTGCTGCTGTTGATGATGATGATGATGGTGACTACGGCCACGACGGTGATGTGTATGATGTCGTAGGGCATGATAGTGATGCTGATGATGAGGAGGTGGCGCTTCGAGTCAACGTGACTGTTGCGTCGAATCAACGTGACTGTTGCGCCCTGACAATCTTGAACCGTGCCAGGACACCATTCCTGGAACTCCACTTTTACGAGCCCTTCATCCTGTCGCAGACGTTTCAGACGAATGTTCGCGGCGCTGAGGCGAAAACCACATTCTGAAAAGAAATCGCCTTCCACCGGTGAACATGTCGCAAACTTTTGGATGGAAATATGCGCGGCGCTCAAACAAACACCACATTTTGGAAATGGAACCGCCCTCCCTACGTGGAACTGTCGCAAACTTATAGGACGAATGTGCGCGGCGCTGAGGCGAGAGCCACATTTTGAAAACGGCCCGCCCTCACTCCGTGAAGCTGTTGTTATCTTTTCTAAAGAGTGTTCGCGGCGCTAAGGCTATGGTGACATTAAAAAAACGGCCCGCCATCCCTCCGTGAAGCTGTTGCTAACTTTCAAGGTGAATGTTCGGCGCGCGAAGGCTACAGCGAAATTCTGAAAACGACCCGCCCCCTCTGTGAAACTGCTGCTATATGTTAAGATGAATGCTCGCGGCGCTGAGGCTACAGCCACATCCTGAAAACACGCCGATTTTCATCTGTGACACTGATGCAAGTCTTAAATTTCAGATGGATTGATGGTGAGAAGCTCTGAGGTACAACGCCCGACCCTCCCTGCCGACACGTCTAGGGGGGAAGGGGGTGTACGACAGGGAGGAGTAATTACAAGGACAACGGCTGAAGGAGAAGAAGGAGGAGGAGGAAACAGATGAGAGAAGGAGGCGGAGCAGGAGGAGGCGATGATGGCGATGATGCCGATGATGATGATGATGATGATGATGATGATGATGATGATGATGATGATGATGCTGATGCTGATGCTGATGCTGATGCTGATGATGATGATGATGGTGATGGTGATGATGATGATGATGATGATGAGGAGGAGGAGGAGGAGGATGAGGAGGAAGAGGAAACGGAGGAGAAGGCGGAGGCCGAGAGGGAGGAGAAAGCGTCGGAGGAGGAGGAGGAGGACCAGTGTAAACCCAAGACTCGTCAACGATGTTGGAATACACCCTCCCTCCAAGCTTCCTCTTCAAAGGCCCCATACAAGGGTTCATTTCCACTGAGGGAACTGCTCGTTGGAGACAGCCGTCTGAAGACCCTGAAGCGTGCCAATCCACCGTTCTCGGGACTCCAGCGCCGCGAATCAACCGGATTGTTGCGTTTTTACGATCCCGAATCGTGCGAGAATGCTGTTCCCGGGGTATCGACACCGCGAATCAACGGGTCTGCCGCGCCCTCCTTCCAAACCGAATTTTTTCCTGGTACGCTGACCATGGAGTCTCGTGAAACTCTTGCCAGTGTTTAGCACGAATGTGCACCGCGCCCAGGCCAGAGCAAACCACTGGCCCTCAATCCGTGAAGCTCTTGCACATGATCGAAACGAATGCGCGCGGCGCTAGGTCTGTAGCGACATGTTGAAAACCAGCCGCCTTCAATCCGTGAAGCTCTTTCAGATTCAAGACGTTTATTTTTGTTGTTGTTTCTTCTTCTTGTTTTGAGGCGCTATGGCTATACTGACGTTTTGGAAACGGCCCGCCCTCCCTCCGTAAAGCTGTTGTTGATTTGTAAGACACATGTTCGCGGCGCTAAGGCTATACCGACATTTTGAAAAAGATCCGCACTCAACCGGTACAACTCTTGCAAATCAGAAAAACGAATGCGCGCGGCGCTAAGGCGAGAGGTACATTTTGAAAACCATCCGCCCTCCATATGTGAAGCTCTTCCCGAATTCTAAGGTTCAGACTCATGAATGGAGAGGGCGTCTCAGGCGAAACGCCCGGCCTGCCCTTCCGACCGGCCTCGGGGTGCGAAAGGGAGGAGTTATTGATAAGGAAAAGGAGCGGAGGAGGAGGAGGACGACGACGACAACGGCCGCCGCGCGCCCTGGCGAGACGCGAGAGTGCTGCCGCTGCGCTGCCACGCCGCCGGGCGCGCCGAGGAGGCGTGCCGGAGCAGTGGACCAGCAGCGTCACCAGCGACGGCCGTTTTGCCCCCCGCGGGGCGCTCCTCCTCCTCCTCCTCCTCCTCCTCCTCCTCCTCCTCCTCCTCCTCCTCCTCTCCTTAACTCCTCCTCCTCCTCCTCCTCCTCCTCCTCCTCCTCTCCTTAACTCCTCCTCCTGGTTTTTCTTCTCCTCTCCTTAACTCCTCCTCCTCCTCCTCCTCCTCCTCCTCCTCCTCTTCCTTCTCCCTTTTTCCTTCTTGTCCTCCGCCTCCTCCTCGTCGTCCTCCTCCTCCTCCGCAGCCGTTGTGGCTCAAGCCTGGATCATACCCGTCGTCCTGCGCCTGCGCCTGCCGCCGACCTCGCGACGGTGGAGGAGCAGCCGGCCCGGCCACGGGGCTCGGCCCGAGGTCGTCGCTGCCCGGTCGGCAGCGCCTGCGAGGAGGCCCTCGTCCGCGGCCCGGCGGCCGCCGAACGCGCTGCTCGCCGCAGGGCCCTGAGGTCCGATGTTGCAGAGCAGATATGCAACATCGCACACGAGCAGGCATGGAGGAGGAGGAGAGGAGGAGGGAGGAGGAGAGGAGGAGGAGGAGGAGGAGGAGGAGGAGGGGGGGGAGGAGGAGGAGGAGGAGGAGGAGGAGGAGGAGGAGGAGGAGGAGGAGGAGGAGGAGGAGGAGGAGGAGAGGAGGAGGAGGAGGAGGAGGAGGAGGAGGAGCAATGGGGAGGAATGGGGAGCCCAGGCCCCATCTTTCCAGGTCATTGTTCGAGCCAGGTCGATTTGTGAGGGTCCCGGGGCCCGCCATGGAGCGAGAGCGCTCGGCTCGGAACAATAGCTAGAGTCGCCAGGATCTCAGGGGTGGCGGTGCCGGCCTGCGGGCGTCGGGTGGCGGCCTGGGCAGCTGGCACGGGCAGGCAGCTGGCGGGCGGGCCCGTCCTTCGCCGCGCGGCGTCCAGGCGGAGGGCCTCGGGGCGTGCCCCCCCTTCGCCGCTCCACGCGGCGTGGCACGCCGCGGGCCCTCCTCCCCAGCGCTTCGCGGCGGCGTCGGACGGCGAGATCAGCGCCGCCGTGGCGGCGGCCCAGGCACGGAGCGGGCGCGCGGCCGTACCTGGAGGAGGTGGGCTTGGCATCGCGCGGACGTGTGCGTTTCCTCTCGGCACGGACCATCGAGGAGCATACCTTTCGAAAAATACGCGCGACACCGAAGAATGCACAGGGAATGGACCTCCGAGCGATGGGCGAGTGGGGGGGTGCTGGACGGCTGGGAGGGGCTGAGCGGTGCTACTGCCTCGCCGTGCCAGCCTTGGGAGCCTCCGCCTCGCGGTGGCCCCGGACGTCTGGGAGCTGCCTCCGGTGGATGCAGCGTTGGCGGCCTTGGCATTACGCGAGGTCCTGATTGCGGGGGGGTGCGCTTGAAGCGGCCGTGCTTCCCGCCCGAGGCCCGTCGCATCGTGCTGCTCGTGTCCCTGTCGATGGTGCTGCTCGGCACGGCTCTCGCCGTGCTGTTCGAGGAGGAGGAGGAGGAGGAGGGGGAGGAGGAGGAGGAGGAGGAGGAGGAGGAGGAGGAGGAGGGGGAGGAGGAGGAGGGAGGGGAGGAGGAGGAGGAGGGAGGGAGGGGGAGGAGGGAGGGGGAGGGGGAGGGGGGAGGCGGAGGGGGAGGAGGAGGAGGAGGAGGAGGAGGAGGGGAGGCGGAGAGGAGGAGGGAGGAGGAGGAGGAGGAGGAGGACCCCCTCCCCCTCCAACTTGTGGTGGTGGTTCTGGTGGGAAACAGGCCTATCATGATCGTCGCTCACATGTCTTTCCAGTTCCAGTCCCGGGCCCTTGAATTGACAGGCGCGCTGGTTCTCCACATGTGTGCATCCAGCGCGTGGCCTCTGGATGTTGCACACGTGCATCCAGCCGCGTGTGTTTCCAGCTTCCTGGTAGGGCAGCCTGCCCTTCCGCTTCCCCCTCCCGCTCCCCCTCTCCCGCCCGCTCCGTGCCTCCCGTTCTCCCCTCCCACTGCGCGTCTGGCCCTGAGCGGCGTAGGCCTGCCGCTGCTGGCACGGCGCAGGGTTTTCTCGAGGCACCAGAGGCGAAGGGGCGTGGCAAATCTCCATGCCCGTCTTGCAGAGCCATCCTTACTGATCCCCCTCCCAACTCCCCCCTCCCGGCCACCAGATCCTCGTTTCCCCCCCCCGCTCGCGCCGCCACGCCTTCCCTGTCCTTCCTGGTCGCCTCCCTTTCAATTCCACGCTGCGACAACCTGGTCCGAACTTTCTTTTCCGCGAGGAGAGGGAGGGCGGGGGGCGGAGGGTGAGGACATGATCGGGCCCATGATGTTGACGACGATCATGATGACATTGTTGACGATTATTGCGATGATGATGATGATGATGCTGATGATGATGATGATGCTGATGATGATGATGATGATGATGGTGATGCTGATGATTGTGATGATGGTGTCGATGATGACAAGGGCGATTTTGATGTTGATGATGCTGGTGATGATGGTGACGATGCTGATGATGCTGATGATGGTCGTGGTGATGCTGATGCTGGTGGTATTGATGCTGTCGATGCTGATGATGATGCTCATGATGATCCTTCTGCTGCTGATGATGATGGTGGTGCTGGTGATGCTGGAGTTGATGACGATGACGATGATGATGGTGGTGCTTGTGATGATGATGCTGATGATGGTTCGGGTGATTATGATGATGCTGATGATGAGGATGAGGGTGAGGATGAAGATGATGATGGTGCTGGTGATGATGCTGCTGATGATGATGATGATGACGATGACGATGATGATGATGATGATGATGATGATGATGATGATGATGATGATGATGATGATGATGATGATGATGATGATATGATGATAATAATGACGATGGTGGCGGTGGTGATGCTGATGATGCTGATTCTGATGCGGCTGCTGCTGCCGATGGTTGTGGCGGTGGTGGTCATCATGATGTTGCTGATGCTGCTGCTGCCGATGACGATTTCGACGATGGTCATGCTAAGGTTGATGGACACTATGCTGATGACGAAGAAGACGGAAAGACAGCTGCTGCTCATCATGATGCTGACCATGTTGTTGATGTTGATAATTGTACTACTGGTGATGTTGATGCTGCTGCTTGTCATTGTGTTGTCGGTGAGAATGATGATTACGCTGGGAATGACAGTAATGCGTATGACGAGGGGGACGGTGACGATGATGAACGTGATGATGATGATAGTGATGATTATGCTGGTGGCGATGGCGATTCCGAGTATTGTGGTTATGATTGTGGTGATGATTGTGAGGATGATGGCGATGATGATTGTGGTCGTGGCGATTGTGGTGATAGAGATGGTGCTAATGATAATGATGATGCTAACGATGCTGATGAGGTTGATGATGATGGTGATTGTGATGATGATGGCGATAGTGTGACTGTCATACTGATGGTGATGCTGCTGAGGCTGCTGATTACGAAGGCGGATCTACATATATGCTTTGTTATGATGATGCTGATCATGATTATGCTGATGATGTTGATGGTGCTGCTGATTGTGATGATGATGACGATGGTGTGACGGTCATACTGATGGTGATGATGCTGAGGATGCTGATGACGAAGGCGGATTCACACATGTTGGCTGTTATGATGCTGCTGCTGATAATGATGCCGATGATGGCGATCACATGATTATAATGAGGATGGTGATGGTGATAATGATGGTGATGATGATGACGATGATGATGCTGATGATGATGCTGCTGATGATGATGATGATGGTGATGGTGATGGTGATGGTGATGGTGATGGTGATGACGATGATGATGCAGATGCTGCTGCTGCTGATGGTGATGCTGATGCTGTTGATGATGATTGTTATGATAATCGTGATGGTGGTGTTGATTGTGAGGGTGATGATGATGATGGTGGTGGTGGCCATTACTGATGCTGGCTGGGCGCCGCGCGCACGCGAAAGGGCCCGCCCGCGGCGCCGCCCCCCGCGGCGGCCAGGCAGCTGGCCGTCCCCGCCCTCGGTGGCCAACGTGGCCGACTGGGGCGTGCCGATGATGTCTGAGCCCTGCGCTCAGCCCGCCGCACGGCGGCCGGGCCGACGGCCGCCCAATCGGCCGCGGCCGCGCGAGTCGTGGTCGGCCGAGGGGCGTCTGCCGCGGGCCGCCGCGGGCGGCCTTTCCGGGGGAGGCCTGGCCCGCGACGGCTGCCGCGGCGCCCGCCAGTCGCCACGAGTCGACTACGCGTGAGGCGGCCACGCGCAGAGGGGGCCGTGTGGGGGAGGGGGGAAGGCTGCTTAGAAGGCAGCTGCTTCTTGGAAGGCGCGAGCCTTCTCTGTACTGTAGATGTAGGGCCGGCGTCTTTAAGAAGCAGCCGCCTTCTCACACGCCTTCCCACCTTCCCCTGCCCCCCCTCTGTGCGCGCCGCCAACCACAGGGGTCCCCGTAGCAGGGGTCGATGCGCTAGGATTGCTTGCTTGCATTTGGTCTCCCCGGCGGTCTCTTGAGGCCGCGCCCCATGGGTCACTCTTGCCTGGGGCCACTATGGCGTGCAGCTGAACGGAGGAAACGGGCCCTGAGGGAGACGGGTCCTGAAGTTTCTCGCCGCTTGGAGCTTCCTGGGGCCTCTCCACGTGCCCGAGGACTGTCACAGAACACGGCTCGGGACGAAGAGCTAGCTGGCTGTGGGGGAGGGCACCCAGGGCACCCAGGGCAGCAGATGGACTCGACACAGCCCTGGAGGCTCCCAGGAGGGCCCCCGCGGGGAGGCGGCCGGGAGCCCCCCGGACATCCGGCGTCTCCAGTGTTTTTTCGAGACTCGGGGCTCGAGGGACGGGGGGTCAGAGCGCCAGATCTTGCAGCATCCTGCAGGTCCGGGGGCGCACCGACCCGGGCCTGGGTGCAGGATCCTGCAGGATCCTGCGGGATCCTGCAGGGCCTGACTGACCCGGATTTTGAGTGACTCGGGTGAGCAGATCCCCGAGACGGGCCTCCGACCTCTCGATCGCTTCCCTGGGGGCGGTCGTGTCAGCCCATAAGCCATTTCTTGACGGTCCCGAGGCCCCGCGAGGACCCCGTGAGGGGCCAAGACGTGTGACAGCCTCCGCCCCGACCTGCTTGGGACGCCGGAGACCCGCTCGTCGACACCTCCGGGCCCTCGCCCGCAGCAGCCTCTGGGCCCCTCGGGCCGCCCCTCCCTCGGGCCGGGCGAAAGGGGGGGATTGGGAAAGGGGGGGGTACGAAATCTACTGCATGCAGCTGGTTTCGGCCTCACCGAGGGGGCCATTCCTCGATACATGGCCGCCTCCGGCGCCGGGAGGCGCCGGGGAAAGTCAGCTACGTGAGCTGATTCTCACCCCCCCCCTTTTGCTGTCCCCCCTTTCGCCCGACCCGACTCCCCCCGGGCGGCGCCGCGCGCCGCCGCCGGGCCGCCCGCGGGGCGCCGCGCCATGCCCGCGGGGGCGTGGCCGGGGGCGCCGGAGCGCGCGGCGGGCGCGCCGGCGGCCGCGGGCTCCGTGCAGGCCTCCCTGGCGGTGGCCGCCGCCCTGGTGGACGAGCGGGTCCCTGCGCCGAGATCGGCGACGGCGAGGGGCCCCGGGGAGCCTCTCGGGAGAGGGGGGCCGACATTTCAGGCCAGCCACGACTGGGGGAGCTGTGTTCCTGGCACCCCCCCTGGGGGGCCCCTCGATTCTGACACCCCTCTCGAGGGATCGTCGATATGCGATGGGTTCCCCCAGGGGGGTAAGGACCACAGCTCACCCAGTTATGGCTAGTCGGGAGATGTAGGGAGGGCCCAGAGCTCGGGGGGACAGGGGGGTGGTTTCTGCAGGCGTGGCGAGCCAGGCCGCCTAGAGGGAGGATGCCCATAGAGTGCAAAGGCGGGGGCGTCAACGAGGCCGCGTCTTCACTGTGTCATTCGGGTTCGTTTTTTTTTTTTTTTGTCTCGCGGGGTTGTTGTCGAGGGGTTCTCGCGGGCGATCTGTCTCCCCCAGCCCCCGTCTTGTCGACGAAATGGAAAGCGCTCAGAAATAGGGGAAACCCCAGGGATACACCCCAATGGGGGCTAGCTGGACGTACCCCTATCGAGGATGGAGGGCCCCCAATCGTATATCCCAGGGTTGAGCCTGAAATTTTTGGTTCATTCAAAAAGCCCACGGAGCCTGGGATAGAGGTCGACATATGCGCTGTTAGGTTTTCAAGGCCCAGACATGCTCGCGTCGTGAGGCGACGGGAGGTTTTCGGCCGTTTTCGACCTCTGGAGGCCCTCCCGCCTGGTCCCGGACTCCGTCAATAACCATCGACTCGGAATGCAAGACTAGCCCTGGGGACAGGATTTCCAGGAACCCAGTATTTCAAAAATCAAGACATCGGATGTCTGGGTGTCGGGCGATTCTCGTAGGTTTTCGATGGTTCCTCTCGGTTCCGGAGGTGCTCGGGCCCCGGGGTGGTTTGCATCGGCTCCGCCTCGTCGCAGCAGTTCCCTCGCGGGCGGTGTTCGGCGTTTTGCAGGGGTTTACCTTGATTCCTCTAGGTTTTCAGGCCGTCCAGGCCGTTGTGTTGTTTAGACTCGTAGAATCTGGGAAGTTTGCTTGCATGGAGACAGCGGGGCGTGTCGGAGCCCGAAAGGAAATTTGGACCCGACGCAAGTCGGGTCAAACCTGCGCGTCTTTTCGGCCCGGCGCTGTTTCTAAAGGTGGTGGAGGAGGGAGGGGTGCAAAATGCCATGCAAGCGAACTTGCTTGAGTCTGAAGGAAAACGCCCTCCTGGGGTCGGTTCCGCCTCGTCGAGGGCTTCTCCGGGGAGCCAGGACTCGTCCCAGACGTCGGCTTGAGGCCCGAGTTGTGCATGGCCCAAGGCTCAGCGGATCCGAGTTCGCATTCGATGTCTCGCCCCCCGACGCCCTGGGTTCTTCCTCATCCGCTGGCCGCTCAGAGAAGGATGGGGGAACTCGGAGGTGCACTCCCCGGGGGAGCCACCCAGACACACCCCGTCTCGAGGATGTGCGCCCCGCGGGCTACATGTCCTCGAGTCTGGCCCGGATCTGATCTTGCTCACTCGGGACTTCCACAGAAGTCGAGGACTGGGAACGCCATGCCCCCCGTTCGGCCCGTCGGACGGCGGCAACCCCAGTCGCCGAGCCTGGCTCCGCTCGTTTGTCCATTCCCGAGTGGGAAACAGTCTGGGCTTGGGTTCGCCCTAATTACGCACTCCTCTCTTTTTGTCTGTCCATCCCCAACAGTTGGGAGGGAGTCCGGGACTGGGGCCGCCCTGCTCCTGGTCAGCAGGTCCATCCTGGCGGCACCTGCGAGTCCGAGCCCAGGAGGGCCCGGCGCCGAGCCCAGGACCTGGCCCGGCCAGGGCCGGCGCCAGCGCACCCTTGGCTGAAGTCGGGCCCGTCTCTCTAGGGGAAGATCCTTAAACAGGCAAAACATAGTCTGGGGACTATGTTTTTGGTATTCTTGTGACCATGTTGGAGAGCATCTTTGGAGTATTTCTCTTATTTCTCGTCGAAAAGGTCCCCCTTGTAGGGGGACGCGCCCGACGGAACCCTTGGCGCCGCAGCTGCAGGTCAAGGCCTCGAGCACGCGGCGCCCCGGCCCGTTGTGCCGCGACGTCCCCGGCCTGCGCGTCGTCGCGCCGGGCGCCGGCGGCCTCGCCGCGGCGGGCGGCGTGCGGCACGCCGCGGTGCCGCCCGGAGGGGTCGCGGAGGAGGAGGCGCAGCGGCGCGCAGAAGGGGGCGCGGCGGCGCGAGGGGTGGCGCCCCTCCTCCTCCTCCTCCTCCTCCTCCTCCTCCTCCTCCTCCTCCTCGTTCTCCTCCTCCTCGTTCTCCTCCTCCTCCTCCTGGGCAGGCGGGGCCGAGAGAGAAGCCCACCCCGGCCCTGGCCTTCCAGGAGGGCTATAGGAGCCTGACCTTCCCAGGAGGGCTACCTCAAGCAGCACCTGGGCCTGGGTGCCCCAAGTTCCGGTCGTGCTTTTTGCGCAGCCCAGATGGGTCGACAGGTTTGGAGCGCTAATTTTTTTAAAGTTCTCTGGCACGGCACGGAGCTTCCGCACAGGGGGAGAGGCAGTTGGTACGGGTCCCTGCCGCCGGGCGTTCTCCTCGCGTACAGTCGGACCGAGGCATAAGTTCGCGATGTGGGTCCGAGGAGGGTACCCTAGCGTTCTTTGTGTTTGTTGGATGCTCGTGTGCACCCTGGGGAGGGTACCCTTGGATGGTCTGTCTGTTTTGGCCGACGGAGGGTCTCATGTGCTTGCTTGCAGGATGTTCCTCTGGCCTAGGTCCGACTGGACAGTCGGGGCGCTGAAGAAGGAACCTCTTTCGTTGGGGAGGGGCTCCGTGTCCCTTGATAGTTTCACAGTTTGCTCAAGGTTTTCCAGAGGTTCCCCACGGGAAACCGAAGTTGAACCACTGGATGCAAAGGGGGCTCGTTCCATGTTTAGGGCTCCTCGGGTCAACGCCCCGACTGTAGGCTTGGAGGGGGGGGGGGGCGCATCGACCCCCCGTCGCCCCTTGTCTGGACGCCCGACATGGGTACGGAATGAATGGGTACAATGCCCAACAGCAGTTCCTGCTCATTTTGAACAGGACTCGCTGTCCGCGCCGCCGCGGCCTGTGTCCACTTGAGACAGGAGGCCGCCTGCCCAACAGCGGCCGCTGCTGGTTTGAGACAACACTTGCTCTTGGGCATTGTGCCCATTCTTTCGGTACCCATTTCGGGTGTCCAAACCCTGGTCGCCGATGCTATGAGGGCCTGGTGGCCGAGGACCCCGCCGAGGAGCGTGCGGAGATGCGCCATGGGGGGCCCGCCTCGCCGATATCTGTCGGCGATGCAGCGCCGCTCCCGGGTCGAGGATTCCCTCGCCTGGGCCGATCCCACCACACTCAGGAGGGGGAAACACACACAGACACAAGTCATCGTCGACTCCCAGGAAAGTGTAGGAACATATGACAAGTGGGGGGGAGGACGAAAGCCCAGAACATACGTGGAGATATGGGGAGTGCTGGGAGTTGTGTCCATTTGTTTGTGTGTCCCTGGGCCCCTTTACTAACCCCCCTCATTAACACTCCCCCTCACCCGATGCGAAGATCAGGGGAACGAGCAATGACACAAACATGAAAACTCGGAGGTCCGCGCGGGTTTCTCTGATCGGCGCTGGACCCCCCTGGCGGGGCCTCCGGCGCCGCCCCTGGCGCGCTCCGCGCGCCAGGGAGGGGAGTCCAGCGCCGATCCGAGAAATCCGCGCGGACCTCCGAGTTTTTAATGCTCATGTCATTGTTCGTTGCCCTGAGGATGCCCTCCACGCTGCGAGAGCTGCTTGCCTCGCTTCCGCTGTCCCCCCCCGTCTCGCGCGCCCCAATGTGGGGAGCCCGGGGAAGCCTCTTGCAGTCGAGGCGTTGAGGCACGGGCCGCTCTGGGCTCAGGAGGGGCTCCGCGTTGCAGGCCGTGCCTGAAGTCCAGGTCGGGCCCACCTGCTCCAAGGCTCTTCGCGGCACGCACGGGGGGGCGGGGGGAGGGGGGAGGCTTCGTACGCAGAAGGAGGCTGCTTCTCAGAAGGCACTGGCCTTGCACCTACAAGCAAGACCCTCGCCTGCCGAGAGGCAGCCTCCTGCTAAGAAGCCCTCCCCCCTCCCTCCACCCCCGTGTGCGCGCCGCCAAGGCTCGCCGCGGCCAGGAAAGTCCCTTCGTTCCTCTTTCAGCGTGCCCTAGACATTGTCTCTTCATCCTCTGGTGCGTCACGGTCGTTGCCCGGTTCCCCCCCGAGGTCATGGTAACCATCGTGCGTGTATGGTGGGGAGCTGGACCCCCCACATGCTGGTGCTCGCGCTCATACTGGCGATCGCAGCGCCCCCCCACCCCGATGTGCCGCACCCTGCCCGAGCGTTGCTGTTACCCGTCCCCCCCCAGCTTGGGTAACGACCGTTGCCGGAGCTCATCAGTCAGCAGCATTCGGGGCTGAAGAGGCGGGGGTCAGTGCAAACGGGGGTCAGTGCAAACGGGGGTCAGCGAGAGCGACAGATTCTGCAGGATCCTGCAGGACCAGGGCTCCGGGCTTGGTGCAGGATCCTGCAGGATCCTGCAGGTACTCGCCGGACCCTGCCGGGCCTGACTGACCCGGGTTCGCACTGGCCCGGGCCAGTACGTCCTCGGAGCAGCCTGCCGAGGCTCGCCGTGGCCAGGAAGGCCCCCGATCGCTGTTCCGCCCGCCGTCCTCGTGGCAGCTCAGGGGCTGCCGGGGGGAGCTCCTCCCGGAAGCCGGGAGGCTGCCCGCGCCCTCGGGGGAGGGCCGCCCCCCATCGAGCGTGCCGCCGCCCCCCCCTGCTGCGCCTGCCGCCGAGGAGGAGGATGCGGGGCCGCTCCCCATCGGCGCGGCCCAGGCGTGTCGGGGGGGCAAGCAGAGACTCGGGGGCCCCCCAACGGTTTGGGTGACCACACCGCGTGGCGAGCCACTGGAGTTTCGCGGTCACTGCACGGTTTTGGGACCCGGGTCGTTCTCCGAGGACGCCTCGGGCGACCGGGGCCTCCGAGGCCCCGAGACCGTGCGGTGACCGACCGCGCGGTGAGGCCTCCTGGAGACACAGGTCAAGTCGGAGATGCCGCGCTTGGCGTGTTTTTTTGGGGTGGGGGGGGTGGGGGGAGAGGTCAAGTGGGAGATGCCGCGCTTGGCGTGTTTTTTTGGGGTGGGTGGGGTGTGGGGGGGTGCGCGCAGGGTTCTGCCAGAGCTCTGGGGCTCTGGTGCGCCGCGCCTCCTCCCAGGCGAGAGCGGCGCCGGCGTCGAGAGCTCTTGCGCCCGCGCGCATCACCCCGGACCGCTGCTCCCCTGGGGGCGGAGCTGGGGTTGTGTCACCTCGAACACGTTCTGGGTGATGGAATCGATGGAGAGATAAGGTGGGTCGAGGCCGCCCAGATGGGGTCGGAGTAGATGGGGTCGAAGGACCTCGCCGCATCGCCGATGCATCGGCGATGCGGCTTCATGTGGAGCCCGATGTTCTCCACGCCGACGGCGCTGATGCATCGCTGGCGTCGCGGGTGCATCGCCAGTGCATCGGCGATGCATCGCCGATGCGGCGCGATCCTCCGACCCCATCTAGTCCGACCCCATCTAATTACTCCAGCCCCATCTAGGAGGCCTCTAGTAGGTCAGTTCTATAAAACATAGATGGGCATTGCGTTTACCATTCGTATGTCAGGGAATTATCGTCAGGCCTCCTTGGGGCCTCTGCTGGGGTGTGTTTCGGCAGAAGCAATCAGTTCGTGGACACTCCCCCGCTCCCCGTCGCTCAAAGGTGGCACGCGCGGGGAAGACTGCGGTCGAAGTGCAACCCACTCAACCCACCGCCAGCATTGATCAGTGGGGGGAGGGGGGGAAGTGACAGATGAATGTAGCATGAGTGCTCGCCAAGTTCTTCGAGGCCTGTCTGACCAAGACCAATCGGCGCATCCCGCTGTGGTGACAAGGGAGAAGGGAGGCGGCACCAGTACCCTTTTGCTCCTCCCCCGGAGGTGCCAGGGGGCACCGCGTTCGACCAGCTGGCTGCCCGCCTCGTCGACCAGCATGCGGCCGACGTCGCCTGCCTGCGGGAGGAGATCGGGCGGGGCCAGTGCTGGGACAAGCCACTCGAGAGCGTTCCGGAACGCTCCAGGTGCGTGCGGGAGCGCTCTATGACGGCTGCGGCGCCCGATGCACGCTCCAGAACCGCTGGATCCGAGAGTTCCACGATTTGTCCCGGTCCGATGTTGTCCTGGTCTCAGGGTCTGGTCGGTCCTGGGGCCCGGCACGCACGGTTCGTCCGCTTGTGTCCTCGCTCGCATCTGCATGGCCATATGTCGGTTCACACTCAGCACTCCGTGGCCGCAGCCATCTGGGGGCAAAAATCGCGTCTTCTTTGAACAAGCCCCGCAGCTTGAAGCGCGGTGGGGTTGGAGTAGGTGGATGTGGTCGGAGGATCGCGTTGCGTCGCAGATGTATTGCCGATGCGGCTCAATGTGGGGCCCGATTTTCTCCACGCCGACGGCGCTCATGCATCGCCGATGCATCGGCGATGCATCGCCGATGCGTCGGTGATGCATCGACGATGCGGCGCGATCCTCGGACCCCATCTACAAGGAGGCCTCTATAGCGTGCATCGCGAGCGCTAGCGTCGAGTAGTTGATGAGAAAGTAGAGACTCAGCCTCGATGAGCCTCGATTCCGCATCGACCAGCGTCGGCTGGCGTCGGCCAGCGCCGCTCCATATCAGCCAGCAGGATGCCATGCGAGGCTCCCGTGAGATGCCACAGATTTTCGGGAGGCCTGCATGCTGAAACTATTGCGGCTTCTTCTCAGGAGAACGGGTCGCTCCGCGCGCAGGTCGCGCAGCTGCAGGGCGGCCGGCTGCGGGACGCGGCGGCGGCCGACGTCCCGCTGCGGCCGGTGCCCGCGCGCTCGGGCGGGCTGCTGTCACCGCGGCTGTGTCCTGGCGTGCCGCGGCGGCTCCCGGCGCGGGCTGCCGAGGCGGGCGCGGGCCGCCGCCTGGGGCTGCAAGCGTTTTTTTGCCACCGCTAATTAGCCTCATCACCATCATACTCACCACCACCATCATCACCACTATCATTGCATCACCTCCCTCATCACCACCACCATTAATTACCATCAGCATACTCATCATCTTTATGTGCATCATCATCATCATCACCATCATCATCATCACCATCATCACCATCACTGTCACTATCACCAGATTCATCACCTTTACTATCACCATCACCATCACCACTATCACTGCCACTATCACCATCACCATCACCACCACTATCACTATCACTGTCACTGTCACTATCACCATCATCATCATCACTATCATCACTATCACTATCAGCGGCCACTCACCACTATTACTGGCACTACCACCATCATCAGTTCAACGTCATCCTCATCACAACCACTGTCACTATCACCACATTCATCATCTTTATCCTCATCACCCTCATCAACACCATCGTCATCATCATCAGCATCATCATCATCAGCATCATCATCATCGTCATCTCAAGCATACTTATCACAACCATCGTCCTCAGCATCAACACGATCATTATCATTATTATCATCAGCATCATCTTCACTGTTTAGTTACCATCATTGCCACTATCGTCACCATCATCAGCATCAACATGTCCGGCACCAGCATCATCACCACCAACATCATCATATGCACTACCATGCTCATGATCGCCATTACCATCACCTCCACCAGCATCATCGTCATCAGCATCATCATACTCATCTTCACCATCATCACCATCACCATCACCACCATCATCATTATCAGAAAGAGCGTGTTCTACCGCTGCTGGCGGAAAACCGGGGGGGGTCACTACCGGTTCGAACCCCTCCCCCCCCCCCTCCGAAAACCGGGGGGGGTCACTACCGGTTCGAACCCCTCCCCCCCCCCCCCCCCCAGCTCATCATGAAAAGGGGGGGGGGTCACTACCGGTTCGAACCCCCCCCCCCCCCCCTCGAAAACCGAGTGGGGGTGCGGACAGAGGTGGGGACGGTGTTGGTGGGACAGTGGTGAGGGGACAGCGGGACAGTGGTGGGGACAGTGGGACAGTGGGACAGTAGAGGGCCGGTAGTGGTGGGGACAGTGGTGGGGACAATGGTGGGAACAGGGGGGACAGTGGACAGTGGTGGGGACGGTGGTGGTGGGGACAGTGGTGTGGGCACAGTGGGAATGAGGTGGAAACAGTGGGACAGTGGAGGGTACAATGGTGGTGGGGACAGTGGTGAAGGCGGTGGCGAGGACGGCGGTGGGACAATGGGACAGAGGTACAGTGGGGACAGTGGTGGGGACAGTGGGGACAGTGGTGGGAACAGTGGGACAGCTCAGTGGGACAGCGGAGGAGTCAGTGGGACAGTGGGGACAGTGGGGATAGTCGGGCAGTGGTTGGGGCCGTGGAGACAGTGGGGAGAGTGGAACCGTGGTGGGAACAGTGGTGGGGACAGTGGGGACAGTGCGACAGTGGTGGGGGCACTGGTGGGGACACAGTGGGGACAGTGGTGGTGAGGACAGTGGTGCTGGGAACAACAGTGGAGGATGTGATGCGGACGGTGGTAGGGACCGGGAGTCGTTTGCTGGCGGTGAGTGGGGGGGTGGGGAGGGGTTCGAACCGGTAGTGATCCCCCTCCGGTTTTCGGGGGGGGGGGGTTTCGAACCCGGGATGGGGGGGTTCGAACCCGTAGTGACCCCCCCCGGTTTTCCGGATCGAGGGGGAGGGGGGGGGGGGGGGAGGGGGGGGGGGAGGGGGGGTGGGGGGGGGGGGGGGGGGGGGGGAGGGGGAGTGGTTGGGGGGGGGGGTGGGGTGGGGGAAGGGGAGGGGGGGGGGAGGGGTTTCCAGCAGGGGGGGGGGGATTTTCGGAGGGGGGGGGGGCGACCCCCGGGTTCCGGAGGAAAAGGTTGGCAATTTTCCACAGTAAAGCGGCGGTGGATCACGCTCTCTCCATTATCATCATCAAACCTATCATCATTGTCACCACCATCATCATCAGCATCATCATCAGCATCATCATCATTATCACCATTATCACCATTACTATCGCCATCGTCATCGCTATCGCCATCAACATCACCGTCACCACCATTATCATCGTCATCATCATCACCACCATCATTATCATC